CCTTTTTTAAATCCTGGGGATAAAATTACAGAAATGGAAAGTATCTCTACCTAAATGTTTATATTCTCATAGAGAAAGACACTAATCTAACAAAACAAAATATAGCATGAGAGATTGCAAGAGTTAGGCAGAAAATTAAAACAGGTAAGGATGAAGAGAATAACAGTGTAATCTATCATAATAAAACTCTGTTTACAGAAGGCCTTAATAGTGAAGAGGTATTTGAATAGCCTTAATAGTAGTGGATGTAGGCAGTAAGGGCAACAAGTACTTGGCATGTAAGAATAAATGAACATGTAAGATCTAATACATATTTCCATAGGTTTTTTTTTTTTTTTTTTTTTTATCTTTGGGGAGGTGAAAAAAGCATTCTGATTGAGGCAATTTAAAAGCAAAGAATTCTCCTTAACCCTGTAATGGCTTCCTCTATCAAGATATCTCTTTCATTGCTCTCCCTCTTCCTTCCTTCCTCAACTTGGCCATCCCATTCTCTCATGTTCTCATTCCCCATTGGCTCCCCATCATCCCCACCCTGTCCCCAGTTTACTAAGGAGATCTTATCTGTTTCCCCTTCCTAGGTTGATCCATGCATCTTTCTTAGGGTTCTCCTTGTTACCTAGCTTCTCTTGGGGACGTGGATTGTAGTCTGGTTATTCTTTGCTTTTCATCTAATATCTACTTATGAGTGAGTCCATCCATGTTTGTCTTTCTGAGTTTAGGTTACCTCACTCAGCATGGTTTTTTCTAGCTCCATCCATTTACCTGCAAATTTCATGATGTCATTTTTTTTTATAGCTGAGTAATACTCCATTGTGTAAATGTACCACATTTTCTTTATCCATTCTTTGGTTGAGGGGCATCTAGGTTGTTCCCAGGTTCTGACTATTATGAATAATGCTGTTATGAACATAGTTGAGCAAGAGTCTTTGTGGTATGACTCAGCATCCTTTGCGTATATGCCTAAGAATGGTATCACCAGTTCTTGAGGTAGATTGCCTCTTAATTTTCTGGGAAACCACCATACTGATTTCCAAAGTGGCTATACAAGTTTGCACTCCCACCAGCAGTGAAGGAGTGTTCCCCTTGCTCCACATCCTCTCCAACATAAACTGTCTTCAGTGTTTTTGATCTTAGCCATTCTGACAGGTATAAGATGGTATCTCAGAGTTATTTTGATTTGCATTTCCCTGGTGACTAAGGATGTTAAGCAATTACTTAAATGTCTTTGGCCATTTGAGATTATTCTTTTGCAAATTCTCTGTTTATATCTGTATCCCAATTTAATTGGATTATTTGGTATTATGATGCCTAGTTTCTTGAGTTCTTTATATATTTTGGAGATCAGCCCTCTGCCAGATATGGGGTTAGTTTTCCTATTCTGCAGGCTGTCGTTTTGTCTTATTTACTGTGTCCTTTGCCTTACAAGAGCTTTTCAATTTCAGGAGGTCCCTTTTATTAATTGTTGCTCTCAGTGTCTGTGTTACTGGTGTTGTATTTAGAAAGCCTGGTGCTAGTGAAATTCCCAGGAATCCACAAGGATAAACCCAGCTAAGACTCTTAGCAATAGTGGAGAGGGTGCCGAACTGCTCTTCTCCTGTAATCAGATTGGTGACTACCCTAATTGTCATCTTAGAACCTCCATGCAGTAACTGTTGGAAGCAGATGCAGAGATACACAGCCAAGCACTGGGCCATCCTCTGCAAGTCCAGTTGAAGAGAGGGAGGAGGGATTACATGAGCAAGGCGGGTCAAGATTGTGATGGGGAAACCCACAGAGACAGCTGGCCTGATTTAGTGGGACCTCAAGGACTCTGGACTGACAGCTGGGAGTTTGCATGGGACCAAACTAGACCCTCTGCATGTGGGTGATAGTTGTGTGACTTGGTCTGTTTGTAGGGCCCTTGGTAGTGGGACCAGGATCTATATCTGGTGGATGAGCTGGTCTTTTGGAGCCCATTTCCTATGGTGAGATGCTTTGCTCAGCCTTAATACAGGGGGGAGGGGCTTGATCCTACCTCAATCTTGATGTGCTAGGCTTCACTGATTCCCCAATGGGAGGCCTTACCCTTTCTGAGGAGTGGATAGGGGATGGGAGAGGAGGAGGTGAGAGGAGCAGGTAGAGAGGAAGGAAGGGGAACTGTGGTTGGTATGCAAAATGAATAAAACATTTAAAATAAAACAAAAACAAACATACTACATAAAAAAAGAAAAATTGAATCTAACTCTGTGGATGAAAATAAAGAGTTTAATGAAGATGTATTGATGATTTTAAAAAAAAAGCAAAGAATTCTTAGCATTGAACCTGGAGTTGGGGTCATGGGGTATGCTCTTTTGACTCTGATTGATTCATTAAGCATCCTTGGACATGCCCTTTTACCTCTCTATGACTTAGTCTCTAACTCTTTAAATTATCTGCATTTGGGTGAAACAGAAGGACTGGGGTTCCATCTTCATTCTCTGGTTAAAGATTGGTTGAAAGTATGTCTTCCATAATTAACTAAAGCTATGTCTACATGGTTGTTTTATCTTTATTGTTTGCTTGTATTGACATGTCCTGACATAGTTATTGTAGCTGCTTTTATAGCATTCCACTGAAATGCTCTTTTCTGGGTTTATAAGTTCTCTCTTTTCCTTTCATCAAAAAACGTTTTGTGAGTACGATGTGTGTGTGTATGTGTGTGTATGTCAGTGTGTGCACACAGTACACTTGTGGAGGAAGGAGACAACAGCCCATGTCTATTCTTACCTGCTGCCCTCCTTGAGACAGTTTTCTTGTTCTTTTTGTTGTTTGAACAATGAACTGTAGCATAGCTAGCCCAGGAGTTTCTGGGAATTCTAGTTTTCACCTCTCAATTCACTATTGGAGAGTTCAGATTATAGGCATCCGCTATTGTCCCTGACTCTATGTGAGTTCTGGGGATTCAAACTCAGTTCTTCATACATGTATTCAGAGGATCTAACATTGCATTATCTCTCTAACCATAACTTTTCTTTTAATTTTCTTAATAATAATAATAGAAACAAAAGCATTTCTGAAACCCATTTTCCTGGCTGGATAAATTTAGACAAATCATGACATCTTATTTCAATCAGGTCCTAGCTTTACCATTCTTCCTGCCTTTTGGGCTGCCATTAGCTCAGGTGACTGGAAACAACACCAGGGAGCAGAGTTACCTTGTGTCAGCTTGAATCTGTGAAAACTTTACACATCTACCTTCCTTGTTCCATGGTTTACAACTTGGTCAATATCTCCAAATTATTCTGCTGGCTCCATATAACTGAGCCGACTGATGCGTTTGTTTTTGGTACACTAACCCATTTTTTTGTGAAGGACATTCAGTGTTTGGAATGAAGTTATGACATGACTGGTGTGAAAAAAAAGCTTCCAGCTCTCACTATCTAGTGCTGCACACTGGGCACGGGAAGGACTTATGGGAGAAGTAGATCATCCTGTGATAGAAATCTTGCTGGAACTAGGGAAATGACAACCCCCTTCCTTTTCTGAACTCTACCATTTCTCTGGGTAGTCTCTACTTGTTTTCATTCAAAGCAATGTTTCAAATCACAGGTGGCTCATTTGTATCCAAACACTTTCCATCATTATCTCCCAGATCATTGTGTATTTTAAGAGTTATTTCAGGCTTGCAAAACAGTCAGGGACTCTGAACATAGAACCATCCAGAACCACTTCATTCATTCGTTTATTTCCTCCATTTTACTTGTTCCTCACAAGAAAATGAAAAAGGAAGTTCTAAGTTCATTTTTCAGTGAGATGATACCTTTCAGTTATCAGTAAATTGCATCTTAAAAGCAAGACTGCTTCTCTGGATGATGGGAACAGAGAGTGAATTATTACACCAATTTAAAATGCTATTACCTGCTCGCATTCCCAATATCTTTCCCCTTAGTAGTACTGTTCTTACATAGGAAGCAAGTTTTTTTTATATATTATTATTACTTCCTTCTATTTTCTTCACCCAGGGAGCCTCATTAGAGAAATAAAGCAAGGGTAGAGATACCTTTGACAGCATGAGACAAATGATGCTTTCCTGAAGCTCTGTATGAGGCAGTTTGCACGAGTCTGTTCAGGCCACTACCTCTGACTCTTGGCATCTGTTTCAGGAGTGACATATGGCTGGGGTTAGGCATGGTCAGCATTTGCAGAAGGGTGCCCATGTGAAGTTGAGATGGTAAGAACGTGACCATGTGAAGATCTGGTATTCGTCTATACCTGCTTCTACAGACCGGTTCTGTAGGATGACTCTAAATAGGTTGTTTCTGACTCCTTTGCACTCCCCTGCAGACACACCCCTGTGGGCAAACACTCTTTACTTATCCTTCCTAGACACCCCTGCGGGCAAACACTCTTTACTTACCCTCCCTAGATACCCCTGCGGGCAAACACTCTTTACTTCCCCTTCCTAGACACTCCTGCGGGCAAACACTCTTTACTTACCCTTCCTAGACACCCCTACAGGTAAATACTCTTTACTTCCCCTTCCTAGACACCCCTACGGGTAAATACTCTTTACTTACCCTTTCTTTTGTTTCCGCTCTTTCTTAATTTGCACAGTGATGATAGCAAGTTAATTTTTTTTTTTTTGACAAGTGCAGTTGAAAATGAAAACAGCTTTTGGTAAAGGACAGACACAAGCTCGCAGATATCTAAGGATCCTCTTTGGTTCTCTTGTGACATTCTCTCTCAAGGTATGTGTTATAATAACACTTACCTACACTATTAAAGGCATAGAAGATGCTTCACTCCCCTTCTATACAGTTAAAACAGGATCATCAGATCTCATTAAAATTATGGGCTGTCCTTTACAATCTTCCTGCCCACAAGTGCACCCTTCTCCATAGAGATCTGGAACTTTGGGATGAGGCAGAGGGAGTCTGGACAAATTTGATCAAATATATTCCATATCTATATGAAATTCTCAAACAATAAATAAAAACTGTTTTTTAGAAAAAATGAAAAAAAAATGAAATAAGACTACTCACTGTCATCATGCCATCCAGAAGACCAGTCTCAGGTCTGGGTGGAGCCTGCAACCTCTCCATGGACCACTTCTCAATGATGGATGACACATGAGGGTTGTCAATATTCAGCAACCGAAAGCCTGTCATATTTACACCACTGTACCTGTAGAGTTCCAGATCTAAAGCAAACAAGTCCTGTGTAGTGTTATAAAAACAAAAGTAGAAATTAATTAACTTCATTGATGTTCTTGATGTAAAAAAAAAAGAAATGATTATGGAAGCAACAAAAAGATGAGAACACAAATGGCAGTGTTACCGCATCCTGTCTGTGAAAGAATGCTAAGTTTGGATAAGTGAAGAAGAGGAGTTTAACTAATAATTTATCTAGTCTTGGACCTGGGATATGATATTTGAAAGTTAAGAATTCTCTTCTTAGGATACAGTCTTTGAAGAGTTAGACGAGATCTTTCAGTCTCCTTGCCTCTATGCTTTTATTTTATACCTGAAGGAAAAAATTCTCAGTGGTGACAGGTCCGCAAAGGAAGCACTGGGCAATGGCAGCCTCAGCCATCCTTGGCACAGCTCCTGCTTCAGGCTATTCTGGGTCATGCTGCTGAGGTGAAATGTGGAATTTACATGGTGAGAAAGAAGACTTCTAGAATGCAAAAGTGGCATCCTGTGGCTCCCTGATGACTACTCTTATTCCATTCAACAAGAGTATAAAGAACATTTGCTGGAAAAGGGCTCAGAATAAGGGCCTTCTCAGAGAATATATTGGACCCTGTGGCTGTGTGCATGTAAAAACTTCCAGGAGGCTCATTTTCTCTTCTACAATGAATCAGAAAACATGCCTAACCCACCCCAGTGTTTTCCAGAACAGACGAAGCTGGATGTAAACCAGAAATTTATGAGTAGGTACATATTTTAAACAGAATGATCATTTCTATTTTTATATAAATTTTAGAGTAAAACCATGCCACTAAAAATATTCCACATTTGAGAAGAAACCAAACTAGCCAAAAATAATTAACAGAAAAAGTCCATGCAGACATTGTCTAGCAATAAAAAGGCATTCTGAAATGGAGTCCGCCATGGTTCAGCCATGGTGAGGATGGCAGTTACTCAAGGCAGTGTCACTAGATTCTGTCACGATTTGTGTTTGCAGAAGATGTGACACACTCTTCTGAAGATGTCTTCTAGTTGCTGTCCATTCCCAAGATATCTTTAGAGTGGACAGTGGAGTTGTAAGATCACAGCTCTGCACTGCTAGCTCCGGACTGTGAAAGCTGTACTGCCTTTTTATATGGGTTTGTTCTTTTATTTTTTTTTTATTCAATTAAGTGTCTGTGTCTCTGTGTGTGGGTATGTGAAACTGCATGAAGGTGCCCGTGGAGTCTAGAAGAGGACATCTGATCACTTGGCAATGGAGTTTTGGCCAGTTGTGAGTCTTCCACCTCCCAATGTGGGTGCCTGGAAACAAATACTCCAGTCTTCTGAAAAAGCAGTATGTGCTCTTAACTACTGAGCCATCTCTCCAGTCCTATACAGCCTTTTTTCAACCATATATATATGTAGTGTGTGTGTGTGAGTGAGTGTGTAAAATTTATATTTTCTTGGCACTAACTTAGTGTTCAGAAAATTTTCCTTAATGCTTATAGTCAAAGTTGGCTAGAATACAAAAGCAATAGGACAGAATTCAGATTAAATTGTAGGGACTCACAGAGTAAATACAAAGAATGAGAGCTAGGAAAGTTACTTCTTCAGCACACTCAATGAGTCGAGGGAAAGTTATTTCATCACAGAAAATTCCAGCAGATGTGTTGAATCTCACATGATCAGTATTTTAAACATATGCAGAGTTTAGCTGTCCTACAACTTGGCATTTCTTTGTAATACAGAATGTGGAAAGTTTACATCTGATTTGCTACATCCCTTGTGAATGCAGAATGAGGAGGTCAGGAGAGTGAGGAGAGGACCAGAATGAAAACTGTACAATGTGTTCTCCTTTCATCGCTTCTATCAAGGACCAGCCTTCCTAGGTTCAAGGAACGAGTCTCTGAAATGGCTCCCAAATAAGCTCTTCTGGGTGTGTGTCAATGAGGCTAAAAGAATGTTCTAAGGCCCAAGGCCACTGGGCCTTGCAGTTCTCTGTTTTTCATGGTTATAGGGAAGGGCATATCTGTGAACAGAAGAAAGCACTTAGCTGACACTGAGGTCACCTTCGACTATTTTGAAACAGGAATTAATGCAATCAGCAGAAACACAGAGGCACAAGATGGCACACGTGTGGGTGTAGGATCCTGCCCTCCACACTGCTCCCTTTCACACCACAAGCTCATGGCATGATGCTCTCTGTACCCTTCATACCCTCATGGATACTGCAAAGACATTTTCTGTGTTCGCTTTATGCTCCTTGTTCCAAATCCTTTAATTCCCATGCTTTTCAGGCTTGGCTTGTCAATTTTATTTGTTAAAACAGTAACTTACTGACCACCCCACGCAGAATCTGGGCAAGTTATACTTTGATAAACCCTTAGAGACTACAAAGAAAATGACTGATTACAAAGATGAGAAAGATTATAAAGAAAACAGACACAAATTTTCTTCTCATGTAAGAAAGTGGAATACATCTTGCAGGTATTGGGGAGACCAGTATATATGTAGGGTCTATTGACTGATTTCTGAAGTCAATTGAGGAGGAGCTATAATTTTGGTATATTAAATGGCTTTAGTAAATATTCTTTAATTCAATAATTCCACAAAAATTTTAACTGTCAGTGATTCTTCTGTACTTCTTAAGCTGTGAGCCATTATTTTCCTTAATGATGTAGAATGTTCAATGTGTACAGTGCCTCCAAAACTTCACTGGTTGAAATTTTCCTAGGTACCCTCCAGGTGACTGACTGTCTTAACTCCAATGTCTTCTGGACACAGGCAGGAATGATACTTTATCACATCAAAGGATTCCAGGTCACACTTTAACACTCTTCCGAATGAATGTAGAAATTATAGATGGTGCTTCTTTATGAATAGCTCCTGTTTAATTGGATTTCATCACCCTTCTGATGGACATGCATTGATGATCTTTTTGTAAAAAGAGACAAAGGTACCCAATACTCATCATCAATGAGTTTAGAGGAATTTTAGGAAAATAAAGAGAATCTCCATGACAATAGCTGCGTTTTGGCCCTGGAGGGGCTGTTTGTGAAATAATGTATGGAATACATTCTTACTGGAAGCACTCACCAGGGTTGTGAAGAAATAGTGATAGTATTCAGTCATCATGCCCATGAACAAAATCTGTAACAGAGACATGAGGGATAGAATCATAAGTAGAATTATAATAAGAAATAGAGCATCAGTAGCCTATCTGCAAACACATGGGAGTACAAAACTTAGAAATCTGCAGACCCAGTAGATTAGAATCCTGAGTCCAATTAGTGGCTGGTGAGGAGGCCATTGACCTCTAACTTATTTTATATCATTATACTCTTGTACTTACATTGAAATAATTGGTCTGGTGATCAAATTTAAAAGTAGTTTCTGGCCAACAAGTTTTATATTTGGAGTTGTGCATGATGACATAGGATTTTTTTTTCTGTTGCTTAAACTTTCAAAAGCAACCCCCTAGCCTATAAATGCAATGTGATTGTGTAGTCTTCATCCTTACCACAATGCTTTCCTCAGATTAGAAGTCATTGTACATTGACATGGCAATGCTAGTATTCAGATGTTTTCAAATGAGGGTTTATAACTGAATGTGCCTCTGAAAACCTACCACATACTTCTTATTTTACCCAACAAACCTGAGTTCACAGATAGATGAGGATCAGACTTAGACCCAGTTCACATTATTTCTTTTTTCAACATTGTTTTGTGTATTTTAGTAGGATTAGAAGGTATGTATTTTTCTAGCTATTTTTAATCAAATTGATTTTATTATATATTTATTTTCCATTATTTTAGTGTACAAAATAGTATAATTATGGCATTGTCATATATACATATAATTGAGCTTTTTGTTCTTCATCTTTCCTTTCCATTTTTGCTTTGCCCAAATTGTCCCTCTTTTTACACCCTCCCCCCCACACACATCAAGATTTCACAGATGAGAGAAAATATGTTTTTTAGAACCAATTCTCAGTTACATCTTTAGGATCTTGGTTTTTCCAGAAATGCTATGAGTTCATATACTGTTGTATTTGTTGAGAGAAGAGGAAGGCAGCTAAGCAACATAGTGTTAGTAGGTAGGTAGTTTATTAAGTAGTGATTCCACTTTTGTGCTCAATGCAGCAGAAAATGTTTCAAATGGCTTTCTACATCTTCGAAGTCAGGATATTATCTTCCTCATTGCAGGGTTTAAAAATCACTACTTGAATACTACTTATTGTTCTTGGTTTGAAATGAATAAAAAATTACCAAGTTACATTTCTGAAGCATTTTTCCTGGCACCTCTTGAAATTTCGGAATGCAAATCATAACCTCTTTGGAAGTTTTTAAGTCAGGGTTCCTTGAGCCCTCTCAAAGTGCCATTCTGGATAAGAGTATCTAAGGTGGTAGAGCATCACTGATCTGTGGGAAACATGTATCTTGGCAGAGAAGAACAAAGACGTTCAGAACACAGACTAAAGAGATGGATTTTAAAAGTATGGGTAAAGACGACATAAGTTGTCAGAGGTTCTGCTTAAATATTCGAGCTGGCATGACTTTACATGAAAAGGGATAAGGAATGAAGAGCATTTAAAGACAGCAGGAACAAAGTGTGGACATGCAGGAGACACTTCTGCTAACATGAGATGCAGAGGCTGTTTAGTGAAACTGGAATGTCTGAAAGTGAGATGAATGATGGAGAACTCTTGCTGTGATTCATGAGCTAATGGGATCTGAGTTGCTCCTCTGGTGCTAACAAGATCAGGCACACAGAGGGGTTTTTTGAAGGTGGACTTGCTTTAGGGCCATCAATACCATTTAGAACCATGCATGGTGAGGTCTTGTTAGCTGGTTTCTTCTATCATTCGAGCATAAAGAACTGGCCAGTTGTTCATTTTGGTTATTAGATTGTGTAAAGGGAACAGTGTAAAATTTATGTTAAGCTATGAATCTAGACACCAAGTTTAAAATACTATTTCTGGAGTTGAAACTGAAATACAAATCCACCTGAGTTTATAGCTTTCATTTTGACAAAATTTTCCTTTTGAGCCTAGTAGACGGTTTTGTTGCCCTGTTGTGAACATGAACACTTTTTAGAAAGAAAAACAATCTTTTAAGCCATTATTTTATTATTGTGTTTTTAATAATTCCTGGAGGCAAATATTCATTTGTTATGTGTTATTCAGTATTAGAATGGGATGTGGCAATTGAGTGAGTAGCAGCTAGTGGGCCCGCTTTTATTGCAGAAGGAACCTTTGGATCCTCCAGGTGTACTTTGCATTTGTTGTTCCACAAACTTCTCTGCTCTCTTCTCTAGCTAGGTGTTTGGACCAGTGTCTCTCTGACTTTGTCTCGATTTTCCTAGAAACTATTAAACAAATGCAGTGCCATTGATCATAACCCTATCAACTTTGTGGCCATTCAAGAGCCAGAAGAAAGAAAACCTTCAAGATTTTTTAAAAAAAGGAGAAAGCTCCAAGAATAGTATGTTTTAACAGCTGTCTTTCATAGTAGCCTGTAGACTGATTGGAATGCAAAGGGCTGTCTTCTGAGATCATGCTTTATAAGCATCACTTTATGACTTTTTCTTTGGATGTTATCATTTCAACTAAAATCAGGAAGGGATTAAGAAAAATGTCACATCATGATGAATGTCAGTTTTAAAAACAAAAATGTAAAATCATGACATGGAGAGCTTTCCAATAATTTGTTTTTGTTTTTGTTTTGTTTTGTTTTTCGAGATAGGATTTCTCTGTGTAGTTTTGGTGCCTGTCCTGGATCTCGCTCTGTAGACAAGGCTGGCCTTGAACTCACAAAGATCTGCCTGGCTCTGCCTCCCAAGTCTGGGATTAAAGGTGTGCAACACCACAGCCCAGCTCTAATAATTTTTTGCAGAACTGGCTTTTTCCTATGACTGCTTTCTCTGAATTTCTATGCCATGTGTATCTGCTGAATTGATAAGTGGTGCTCAGTTTATGAAGTTAGTATTGCCAGGACATAGTCTTGTTTGAATTTAAACCAGTCTGCACACCTCACCAAGTTAACATTGCTAAGCACAGGTTCTGCTTCTGTTTAAATCATTACACCTCAAACAATGCTATATAACAGATGTGGGATCAACTGTGTCATATTCAGTTACACTCTTTATTCTATTTAATTGCTTACACTAATATGGTCTTCTAATAGTACTAGTTTCCAAACAATTATTATCAAGTAAGCTGTGATATTGTATCATTAGCGTAGAGAAAAATAGTTTTTAATCAGTGAGGTGAGGGTACACAAGGATGAACTCCCAGCTTTGAGGAGGCTCAGGCAATAGGTTTGCAACTTCAAATCCAGCCTGAGCTACACAGGGCAGAAGATGGAGTAGGGGGAGGATGAGATCCCTAGTTCGGAAGTCATTAATTCTGTTTGTTAAATTTCTGGTCCAATGCGCACATGGCAGGATGGTAAGTCCTTGTGCTTACATGATGCCATGTACTGGCTCTAGCCAACAAGATGGGGAAGATAAGGACATTTGCCACCTTGCTAACTCTAGCATATTAGTTGCTTGGTTATCAGCATGTAGAGAAGCTATTCTTTTTCGGGATAAGCACCTTTTTTTCTCTTTTCATAAATACCAGGAGTCATGTAAGTGATCCTGTTAACAAGCTTGTTTTGATTTTTAGAAAGGTTAAGGCCAAAATAATGAGCTCTCCAGTTAGCAACACAGGTATATAGCCTAGTGTGGACAAATATCATCCAGGTCTGTCTAGTTTTTTTTTTTTTTTTAAACCAACTCACCCCTTCCAATTCCCCACTACTTTTAATAGACATTATCATTCTGTTTCAAATGTCTTTTTCTAGGCTGCTCTAATTCTTTATAGAATAATGATACTATAAGTAAATAATCTTCATTGGGTATCCAGAAATAAGCTGGATATCCTATTTCCCCCTAAGGAATGGTGGAATGTTCCAATCTAATGTAGCTGAACTGGGTTAGTGTAACAGGACGTCTTTGACCAACTCTAGCCTCCAGCAATTCCATTAATGACTCTTGATAGTAAGTCATACTTTGTATTACTTGAGGATCAATTTTAAGAACTCAAAAGAGATTAATAACAAAAAGGGCAAGATCTGCATCCTTAGGATGTACATTCTGTCTTCATAACAGAATCCAAAAGGAGGAAGGATGGTGTGAGTCTCTTTAATGCTTTCTCTGCATTGTGGTACTGAGCTAGGAAAGGCTACATGGCTACTTTTTTGTTTCAATTTTTACCTTTTTTTTTATTTGTATCTAGAATTGATCTGCATATAGCAGAACAAAAACTCAATGCCATTTGGCTCCTGAAAGGACATTTCTAATGGTTCCACTAATATCAATATTTTTTAGGACACAGCTACAACTCATTAACAATGGCGAGATCACACTGGTCCAGCTGCCTTGTGAGGTTTTCAAAACTATTAGGAAATTTGTACATATTCGCATTGGTCTAGCTCTGTTATCTTTACACGAGCTTTTAGATTTTGATGGATGGCTATGAAGTACACTGAACAGCACAACGTTTATAAGATCAAGTATTTTCTAAGGTCTAATTGACATTTAGATGACTAGGATCTAGTTTATAGGGTATAAGGTTTGTGGTGGCTGCAGAGTCATCTTGTGAGATAGATGGAGCCAAGCATTCCAACAGCATCTCTTTAGTTTCTGAAGAATTCTGGACCTTCACTCTGTTCTCCAAAAGCAGTACAGTACCATGCTACAGAGACAGCAACAGCAAATATCCTCCATGAATTCCCAACATCCATCATTAAGGGAAAGCCATATATAAAAAATAATGGTCGTTATGTAGTAGCTATAGTTGCAAAACCTTAAAATAGAGGCTGGAGTTCTCCTGGGCTATTTTGAGGGGTTTTGTAATATTTATATGGCTTTTTATTACTGCTTCTTCCCTTGAAAATATATGCCCTGGAAGTTTATATTGACTAAACCAAAGTATATTGCTATGTTTATGGTTTTCTCAATAGAAGGATGAAGTCCCAGCCACCAGATATGGCTTCTAGTCAATAATTTCAAGTGAATAACTTCCCAGTGTGTAACACGCACTGAAGCTGAAGTAAGAACTTTTCCTCCAGACAGGAGTAAGCTCTTTCTCCATAAAAATCTTGAG